ACAACTTTACGATACACTCAACTTCAACGATCGCGCTGAACAAACGCTATAACAACGAACGTGTTCAATAATACTTCTGACTGCAGATCAATTACTCACTCTCTGCACACACATTACATTACCCTTCCGCGTCACGTTGTCCCCTCTTATATATACCCGACTACCCTATCTAGTAAGTACTAGAGCATTCCTGAAAGAACAAGATAGTTCTAGAAACTAGAGGGCGCCACACAAGTCACGTGACCTCGATGACGCAACAATATGTTACAGTTAGCAACTTCTTTTAATTATATACTAAACCACATATTTAATTATTGAATACACGAAACCAAAACTTGTGAACTAGATATTTAATGTCATTGTTATTATCTTTACAATGTAAATCGTGCACTGAAAGTAATAAACATATTTTGATTTCTTGCGCTTTCTCTGACTCTGAAAATTAATAAACTATAAATAGTAGTTATCTGTATGAAAGCATATGTGAAATTTATTAAATATCTTAGTTTATATTTTTCTCACTGAACTCCAAATAACGTTAGAATACAACAGATTTTTAAATATATAGGATTTATTTCCTTACTAATGGACAGATATACTAAATTGACCATATCATCATTAGAGGATGCGTTTGAAAGTAATGGAGTAATTCATCTGATTTTTGTATATCAAAGTTGTTTGTTAAGTAATAAAAATTTGTCAAAAATTTGTTGGATATGCGTAAGCTACGGTTTAAGTTGTTGGCGTTGCCGTGAAAATTAGTCAAAACTAACCGAAAATCTTGTAAGAAAACTCTAATGGTTGTATAGAAATTTCAATGTGAATGATGGCTAAAATGTTTGCTTTGAAAACAGGATTGTTCCAGTTGTCGTTTGCAATCAGTCAGCTAACAGTATACGTGGAAGATAAAAAGGTAAGGGCATACAATCTATATGTGAGCGTTTGTTAGTGTCACTTTAAATATGCGTGGAAGAGTACGTGTAGCTATATTTAGTTTGTATGAAATAAAAATCATGCTAGAGAATATAGTTGTGAGAATATACTTGACAATGGTAATCTCAAACAATATCTGGAAAGTAACAACAAATAATATTTTTTTTATCATCTTTTCAAAGATAATATACCTCAATTTTCACCTCAAAGGTTGTTTTCTCATTATAAGGTTTGATTGAATGTGGTGATAGCTTGAGGGCATTCATTGAAGTGTTATCTCTTACTGTGTGTATTTACATACAAAATAAAGTAGAAAATACCCTTCATCAATTATCCTCCGCTTTCCTGCTTGGGATTTACCATAATTAATCCCATACCAGGAAACTAAGCCTAAGGTTGAGACTTCTTGTTTGTTTGTTAATCAGAAAGCCATACAATGGGCTATCTGTGCTTTATCCACTGCGGATATCGAACCCCAATTTTTAGCGTAATAAAGGAAGAATGAGCTTATTATAAGCAAACGAACTGGTTTTCGTCATGAAAACTGAAGAGAACTTGTTGACCTTCTCTTTGAACTAACTTTTAACAACACAAGAAAGGGATTTACTATACTAAGGACCAAAAAAGAGGGATTGACCATACTAAAGAACGTGACAGTATGGTTCATGATAAAAAAAACGTGCAACAGAGGAAGATCATTGTTGAAGGATCTTTTTGATTCATTGTGTGCTTAAATATGATATATATATATATATACACCTGGAAAAAAGTTAAGCA